GACTAGCCGGTGGCACTGCCCCGGTGTTCCATGGCAGCGTCTGAAGCCAAACTGGTGATCGGGGATCAATCCGGTATACCTCGTCCAGTATAGGCAATACTCTGCGCAAAAATACTCTTTCGTGTATTTTGGAGAGGATTGCCAGTAGGCTGATCGGACGATAGGAGGCTAGGTTGGCTTCAGGCTTACCGGGCTTCAGGAGGACAATAACCTCTGCTCTTTTCCAATCCTTCGGGAAGTATCCTAGACGGAAGCAGCCGTTGTAAATGCTGGCCAGCATTTGTGTGCAGCGGAGTGGTAGCATCTTTAAGGCTGCTGCATCTATGCGATCCAGGCCTGGAGATTTGCTGTTCTTCAGTAGGGCGATCTCCTGCGCAACTTCCTCCTGGTTGAATGGTTCCAACGGCGGGCCGGGGAAGCCTTGGACTGTCGAGGAATCTGGCGGTTTCGGCACGCTCTTCGGCAGTGCAGCAGTCGAACGTTGAGAAGGCATTGAAGAGGTGTTCGGCGAATGCTTCTGCTCGTTCACCGTCCATCTTCTTCAGAGCTCTCTTGGTCGTCATCGTCTTCTTCGCTCGAAAGCATAGCAAAGGTGTTGTTGGCCAGCTTTTTGCGCAGCGCTGCGCTAGTGCTTGGCTTGTCATCCAGCTCCTCTCCCTGCGATTCCTTAGCCGGTTTGCGCTTGATCTCGCCCGGCTCTGAGTGCGAGGGGCTTCCCTCGCTGCTGGAGCTGCTTTTGCGTACTCTGAGAGCCTTCTTGCATGGTGTTGTTCCCAGCTTGTGGGTGCGCGGGAGGGCCTGCCAGTCCATCCTCTCCAAGGGTGGTAAGGAGGAGTAACAAGCGCCACCTGCTGGCGCTTTATGGGACTGATTGACGCCCTCTGGCGAAGAAATTTTTAACTATACGGGTAAAGGCGCCACCTATGTCAAAACTGGTTGTGGTTAACGGATTCAGTTTAGCCAGTACACACACCGCTGGAACAGCTGTTCCACCAGCTGAGTAGGCGACGACTGGTGACACCAGTCAGTTGATTTGCTAGCTACATGCACTGTTGCAAATAAGTTAAATACCATCTGCAGCCAGGACTTAACCCAACTGTCTGTACGTTTTTAAAGAATAACAAATCGTTTCCATGTATTATCGTTAATTTTTGGAGGCAGGCAAATTTATTGTTATTTATTTAACCTTCCGTAAAATTGGAAAATTATATCGTTACCGCGGTATAATATATATTTGTCGGAGCATAATTTTGCATGTGTTAGTGTGTTGGTATTCTGGTAGTGTATTTCATCATAATGGAAATATTGCATCAGCTTCTTTTTTCGCAGTTATTGGTTGCTTGTAGTTTGTAGTTTTGGGAAGAACCGTTTTAGCGCGGCGCCAGCGTGTTGTCGCTGACGCCGCGTGTGGTTCGATGGTAAGCACGGAGAAGAAGAGTGCGACACAAGGCAGTTGTGCGTAGTACTTCAGTGCGATCGGAACTCACTGCGCTAGCATTATGGCAAATAACAACGATACTGCGACATCAGAAGTGGGATCGGGCTCCCTACCTGATATGTCTAGTGAACCATGGCGGATTTTAATGGAAATGCAAAATAGAAACTTTATTGAGCTTGTTAAAACACTGCAAACAACGACATCCGAAACAACAAATAAAAATTCGGTAGTGCTACCCAAATTCAACGCAGACGGTGCTGGCGTCGATGCAACGGCGTGGTGCTCTACAGTGGACATAATTTTCGCAGAAAACACCATAAAAGGCAGCGCGTTGGTGATGGCTTTGAGTGCAGCGATGGAAGGTAGTGCTTCGCAGTGGCTTGCTCAAATTTGTTATCCTGGCATAACTTAGGCCGAATTTAAAGAACTTTTCGTTCAACTTTTTGCCAGTGCGGAAACTCCAGCGGCTATGTTTTTGGCAATGCTGGCAGATTGTCCAACTGACGGTGAATGCCTTTACAATTATGCTAGTCGCATGATGACGTCACTTATTACGAAATGGCGTGATATGAATGTGGAGGAAATTGCAGCTTCAGTAACGCTTGCTAAGATGGCACATGTGGATAGCAGATTGCAGCGATTGACATTTACTTCAAATGTACGGACCAGAAGTGAATTGCAAACGGAGCTTAAAGCATTTACCTTCAACAAAAGGAAGAAAACTCTGCCAGAAGAAGCGGCTCCGTCTGAAATAAGATGTCATTTCTGTGGAAAACTAGGCCACAAGATGATCGAATGCAGAATTAAACAGCAGAAAAATCTTTCATCTCGTGCTAAGGACAGCAACGATAGAAGCGCAGTTGGTCACCATCAAAAATCGGATGTAACCTGTTTTAACTGTGGAGAACGTGGCCATATTTCAACATATTGCAGTAAACCGAAGAAAGAAAAAGGCACGCTTCAGGAAAAAAAGGGCGGAACTTTGTGAAGTTGTTGAACCCAAGGGCGAGATGGTTCATCAGTGCGAGACATATCCAATAACTTTTGACTCTGGATCGGAATGTTCATTAATTAAACAAAAGCTAAGTAACAAATTTGTTGGTAAAAGAATTAACAATGTAGTGCTGTTGAAAGGTATTGGCAATGGTAGTATTTGTAGTACATTGCAAATACTTAGTAACGTAAAAATTAACAACTATTGTATTGAGATATTGTTTCATGTTTTGGACGATGTGCATTTAAGAAATGATACCATTATTGGTCGAGAAGTGTTGTTTTCAGGATTTAATGTAATAGTATCACCTGGTCAATTTGAAATTATCAGATCAAAAACTGTAAATTATTGTTCAAATGATAAACAACTTTGCGAGTTGAATGCTGATCTTGTTGGTGAAGATATGAGGAGGTTAAAGAGTCTAATGGGAAAATACTCAAAATCTTTTATTAACGGAATTCCTTTGTCTGGGGTTAGCTCAGGGGAAATGAAAATTAAATTGGTAGACCCAAATAAAATTGTTCAAAGAAGACCATATAGGCTTAGTCCAAATGAAAGAGAGTTGGTGCGTGAAAAAAAATTAAGGAGCTATTGGAGTGTAAGATTGTAAAACCGAGCTGCTCACCCTATGCAAGTCGAACGCACTATGAGCACCTTTAAGAACTTATTGACTGCAGTTGAGACTAGCAGCCGCGCTTGGCAAGATGCGTTGGGAGAGGTTCAATTAGCGTTAAACTGTACGGTTAGTAAAGCAACTAAGGCAAGTCCCTTAGAACTGTTTATTGGCAAAGTTGCCCGCCCGTTGGGGTTGCTTCCACCTTGCGATACGGCAGACGAGATTGATTTGACAGAGGTGGGAGCGCAGGCAGTTCACAATATTTCAGCTGCAGCAGCATATAGCAGGAGGCAATTTGATAAAGGAAAAGCCAAAGTTGTTAAATGTCAAGTTGGAGGTTTCGTGTTGTTGAGAGGTGAAGAAAGGCATCAAGCAAAGTTAAGTCCGAAGTTTGGAGGGCCTTTTGAAATAACCGAATTGTTGGAGGGGGATAGATATATGCTCAGGTCGTTGACGAACAATAGAAAATATAAATATGCTCACGATGACATAAGAAAAATGCCAGATTGGCAAGTACAAGAAGAATTAGAAAAATGTGAAAAGAATTTAAATGTAATGGTTGAAAATGAAACTGTTGAAAGAGACAGTGATGAAGAGATGGAAAATGAAGCTGTTGAAAGAGACAGTGATAAGGAAATGGAAAAGAAAGCTGTTGAAAGAGACAGTAATGAAATGATTAGAATATAAGCTTTAGCAAGTGACACTGCGATGGCCTGAAGGACTTATAATGAAATTTATAATAATAATGTAAGCACAAGTGCAAAACAATTGTTTTGATCATGGCGTGTGGCGCATTAGATATTGTAATGAAATGATGAATGAATTATGTTAAAAAGTTTTGTATTGCTCTAGGAATGATATTGAGGTGTGAAATTTAATTTGTTAATGTAAGTGTAATTTGAAAATGGTTTTGTTGTATTAAAGAGGAAGCATTATGATAATATTTCACGAGGTCGTGTAATGGTCAGGATGGCCGTGTCGGAGCATAATTTTGCATGTGTTAGTGTATTGGTATTCTGGTAGTGTATTTCATCATAATGGAAATATTGCATCAGAAATATTGCGATCGGAACTCACTGCGCTAGCATTATGGCAAATAACAACGAAACTGCGACATATTCATATTTATTACATGATGGAAAAATTACAAAATGTTCAATATAGAAATCATATGCGCTCGGTTTTACGTTATGTATTACCAGAGAGTTATACGGATAAAGATAAATTTTAAATTTATCATCAAATTGCAAATGATTTAACTCAATATTTATGTTGGTTAAACAAAAATTGTACATGTGTGGATACAATATCTATGTATGTATGTTGGAAACAAAATGATATTTTAGAATGAAATATGTATAATATAAATACAAAATTATAGAAATATATATTTTATGAACTGGTTAATAATGGTGAAACAAGTATAAAAAAATAATAGAATATACGAATACGAATGCTATATAAAAATGGCCGTAATCGAATTAAAAGAGATTTAAAATTTTACCCAAAGGCAAAATATTGAAGTATTTTTCAATATGATAAAATAAATGGAATTATATAAAATGGAAATCTATAATATTTATATTGCTTATTTCAGTTCGAAAAATATAAATGGAATATGAAGAAAGAAACATTATTCTGGTTGATCCTGCCAGTAGTTATATGCTTGTCTCAAAGATTAAGCCATGAATGTCTAAGTACACACGAATTAAAAGTGAAACCGCAAAAGGCTCATTATATCTGTTATGGTTCCTTAGATTATTAACAGTTACTTGGATAACTGTGGTAATTCTAGAGCTAATGCAATAAAATCATGGAATTAAAACATGAACCTTATGGGACATGTGCTTTTAAAAGTCTAAATCCAAGCGATCGCAAGATCGTTATATTGGATAACATGGAGATCGTATAGTCTTGTACCGACGACAGATCTTTCAAATGTCTGCCCTATTAACTTTTTATGGAAGTATCTAGGACTACCATGGTTGCAACAGGTAACGGGGAATCAGGGTTCGATTCCGGATAGGGAGCCTGAGAGACGGCTACCACATCTAAGGAAGGCAGCAGGCGCGTAAATTACCCACTCCCAGCTCGGGGAGGTAGTGACGAAAAATAACAATACAGGACTCATATACAAGGCCCTGTAATTGGAATTTTTTTTTTTTGTAGCGTGCGTTTAGATCTGTCAGAGTGGACAATAATTAAATGGTTTGGCGGGTGACTTAACTTAAGGGATACTACATGTATTTGGGGCGGAATTTAAATTCATTTGTTATTGTTGTGGTAGGTCAAGGGGATGTCTCCTCTTTAGTCGTCTGCTGGTTTGGCTGTTGTCCAATAGGTTTATGGCGAGGTGGTTGGGGTGGTACCTGCTGAGCTTGGAGATTTCTTCTGAGACTGATGGGATTCCCAGTTCTCCATGTATTACAACGTTCTCGTGGTAGGAATGCGCATTACAGGCGGATGTTCTGGAACCGCTGTAATATCTGGCGATTCGAATTGCTTGCCGTGCCCCAAGATTGGCTTGAGAATTGCTTTGTACACCAGGATTTTGAAGTTTTGCCTCAGCTTGGACCTTCTCCCAATAAACCATTGCATCTGCCTCAGTTGCGCATCGGCCTGTATGCGTTTGCTGAGTAGCCTCAGCCCTAGATACTTGGGTGCGGGCACGTTGGGAATGATGGTTCCGATCACCGTGACCGTTGGGTAGTCTCCTCTTCGTAGTGAGAGTTGACATTTCCGCGTTCACTACGATATTCCATCTGCTGAGCCAGGGATTTAACGCGTCCATTTGCCTTTGTATTATTTCAGAGGCTTCTCTTGGGTTGGATGATGAGGCGAGGAAAGCAGTGTTGTCTGCATATATGGCTATCATTAGTTTCCTGGAGGGGATAATGGGAAGGTCTGCGGTGTAAAGGGTGTAGAGGATTGGTCCGAGTACGCTGAACTCCAGCTCTGATCAGTCTGATCAGTCTGAAAAGCTCTTTCCTCAGTGTAGGATTTAAGGAGGGTAAAATGAGGGCTTGGGAGGCAGGATTTTAGTTTATGGAGGAGTCCAGGATGCCAAACTCGGTCAAATGCCTGCTTCACATCGAGCATTACAGTGCATCAATATTTCTTCTGCTCGAATGCCTCGAGGATGCGTTCGACTAGCCGGTGGCACTGCTCCGGTGTTCCATGGCAGCGTCTGAAGCCAAACTGGTGATCGGGGATCAATCCGGTATACCTCGTCCAGTATAGGCAAAACACTGCGCAAAAATACTCTTTCGTGTATTTTGGAGAGGATTGCCAGTATCGGACGATAGGAGGCTAGGTTGGCTTCAGGCTTACCGGGCTTCAGGAGGACAATAACCTCTGCACTTTTCCAATTCTTCGGGAAGTATCCTAAACGGAAGCAAACGGAAGTTGTAAATGCTGGCCAGCATTTGTGTGCAGCGGAGTGGTAGCATCTTTAAGGCTGCTCCTGGTTGACTGGTTCCAATAGCAGTTTGGGAAGCCTTGGACTGTCGAGGAATCTGGCGGTTTCGGCACGCTCTTCGGCAGTGCAGCAGTCGAACGGTGAGAAGGCATTGAAGAGGTGTGCGTCCGATCGGCACCAGGATCCATCCGCTTTGCGCACTGCAAAAACTTTTTTAGGTCGTTTTATGTGGCGGGTGACGTTCCACAGGTTGTGATCCGGATCCCCTGGAGAGAGTTCCTCGAGGAATCTGAGGAAGGAGTCCTGGCGTAGGCTGGAGATCTTTTCCTTAAGCTCATTTGTGGCGTGATTGAGCGCTGTTTTGTCTCTTGGGTTGCGCGACAGGAACCAGACTCTCCTGCGACGCCTCTTTTCAGCCACAAGTGACGCAATTTCCGGGGACCAGAGGTGGGGATCTCTACGTTAAAATCTCCAGCTGCTATGAAGCGGGGCCCAAGATGCTCGAAGAACTCGCTGAGATGGCTTGCCGTTATGCGGTATCTAAGGGCAAAGTAGACCGCTCCAATGCTGATTTCTCCTTGCGGGCTGGCGATCCTGATGACAGGACATTGTGCCCAGTCTTGCTGAAACGCGGGCAGCTCTAGGTATTGGATACCGCTCCTGATGAGAATGGCTCCTCCTCCGCGTGCTCTGCCAGTGGGTCTGCCTGGATAATGTCATATCCGCTGATATTGAAGTGGGATCTGGGGAGAAGTGGGTTTCGGCTACGAGTAGAATGTCAATCTGGTGGATTTTGAGATGGTGCTCGACTATGGCCTTGCTGTTCTGCAAGCCGTTTGTATTCCAGACAAATAGATGGAGCTTTAATTGATTGTTGGGGATGCCACAGGCGGCGCCTTATTAACATTCGCATTCGCGACGGGCCTTGCACTCGGAGCTGCGAGTGCTTAGGCCTTTTTATAGGCAGGGCATCCCTTAAAGGACGCGGGGTGGTCCGCTTGGTAGTGGAAGCAGCCCGGTTTGTCTTCCGCCTTCTTCTCGCATTGCCTCGAGTCGTGAGGACCCCCGCATTTTACAGAGCGATGCTCCATAAAACAGTACCGCTGTGTATGACCGAAGCCTTGGCATCTATAACATTGTGGTACATCGTTGAACTTCTGTGGCGATTCGATGGTTACCTGCAGATTCGCTTGACCTGATAGACATCTATCTTGGCAAAGAAGATTCCCAGAAGTTCTTTTGTTCTTCTGCCAAAGGGATTATGCAGATCTCTTACAGTGTTCCCCTGACTGCAAAGGTCCTCGATGACTTCGTCACGGTCAGTGGAGTGGTGGAGTCCTTTAATGACTACCTTGTAGGCTCTTTCGTCTTTCGGTTGGAAGGTACAATGCCTTTTATTTTGAGCCACAAGCTGCTGACGCAGAGCAGTGTAGGACTCCTTGTCCGGCATCATGACTCGCACGATGTTTCCGTTCACGGCCTTGTATGTGAAATTGTTCCTCTGGCCCACAAGCGTCGTGATCATCTTGATGAGTGCCGAGATGTTGGTCACATCAGGAATAATTATCGGAGGTGGTTTGATGGTCTTCGGGGTGGGTTTTGGTTTTTCGGGGGTTTGGGTTTAGTTTCGACTTTAGCAGGTCAGAGTTCATCCTCAGAGCTCTCTTGGTCGTCATCGTCTTCTTCGTTCGAAAGCATAGCAAAGGTGTTGTTGGCCAGCTTTTTGCGCAGCGCTGCGCTAGTGCTTGGCTTGTCATTCAGCTCCTCTCCCTTCGTTTTCTTAGCCGGTTTACGCTTGATACGCTTTTACGTACTCTGAGAGCCTTCTTGCATGGTGTTGTTCCCAGCTTGTGGGTGCGCGGGAGGGCCTGCCAGTCCATACTCTCTAAGGGTGGTAAGGAGGAGGAACAAGCGCCACCTGCTGGCGCTATATGGGACTGATTGACGCCCTCTGGCGGAGAAATTTTTAACTATAGCGGTAAAGGCGCCACCTATTTCGAAACTGGTTGTGGTTATCGGAATCAGTTTAGGCAGTACACACACCACTGGAACAGCTGTTCCACCAGCTGAGTAAGCCGAAGACTGGTAACACCAGTCAGTTGATTTGCTAGCTACATGCACTGTTGCAAATAAGTTAAATACCATCTGCAGCCAGGACTTAACCCAACTGTCTGTACGTTTTTAAAGAATAACAAATCGTTTCCATGTATTATCGTTAATTTACCTTTATTTAACCTTCCGTAAAATTGGAAAATTATATCGTTACCGCGGTATAATATATATTTGTCGGAGCATAATTTTGCATGTGTTAGTGTATTGGTATTCTGGTAGTGTATTTCATCATAATGGAAATATTGCATCAGCCTCTTTTTTCGCAGTTATTGGTTGCTTGTAGTTTGTAGTTTTGGGAAGAACCGTTTTAGCGCGGCGCCAGCGTGTTGTCGCTGACGCCGAGTGTGGTTCGATGGTAAGCACGGAGAAGAAGAGTGCGACACAAGGCAGTTGTGCGTAGTACTTCAGTGCGATCGGAACTCACTGCGCTAGCATTATGGCAAATAACAACGAAACTGCGACATATTCATATTTATTACATGATGGAAAAATTACAAAATGTTCAATATAGAAATCATATGCGCTCGGTTTTACGTTATGTATTACCAGAGAGTTATACGGATAAAGATAAATTTTAAATTTATCATCAAATTGCAAATGATTTAACTCAATATTTATGTTGGTTAAACAAAAATTGTACATGTGTGGATACAATAATTATGTATGTTGGAAACAAAATGATATTTTAGAATGAAATATGTATAATATAAATACAAAATTATAGAAATATATATTATATGAACTGGTTAATAATGGTGAAACAAGTATAAAAAATAATAGAATATACGAATACGAATGCTATATAAAAATGGCCGTAATCGAATTAAAAGAGATTTAAAATTTTACCCAAAGGCAAAATATTGAAGTATTTTTCAATATGATAAAATAAATGGAATTATATAAAATGGAAATCTATAATATTTATATTGCTTATTTCAGTTCGAAAAATATAAATGGAATATGAAGAAAGAAACATTATTCTGGTTGATCCTGCCAGTAGTTATATGCTTGTCTCAAAGATTAAGCCATGAATGTCTAAGTACACACGAATTAAAAGTGAAACCGCAAAAGGCTCATTATATCTGTTATGGTTCCTTAGATTATTAACAGTTACTTGGATAACTGTGGTAATTCTAGAGCTAATGCAATAAAATCATGGAATTAAAACATGAACCTTATGGGACATGTGCTTTTAAAAGGCTAAATCCAAGCGATCGCAAGATCGTTATATTGGATAACATGGAGATCGTATAGTCTTGTACCGACGACAGATCTTTCAAATGTCTGCCCTATTAACAACAGGTAACGGGGAATCAGGGTTCGATTCCGGATAGGGAGCCTGAGAGACGGCTACCACATCTAAGGAAGGCAGCAGGCGCGTAAATTACCCACTCCCAGCTCGGGGAGGTAGTGACGAAAAATAACAATACAGGACTCATATACAAGGCCCTGTAATTTGAATTTTTTTTTTTATATAGCGTGCGTTAGATCTGTCAGAGTGGACAATAATTAAATGGTTTGGCGGGTGACTTAACTTAAGGGATACTACATGTATTCGGGGCGGAATTTAAATTCATTTGTTATTGTTGTGGTAGGTCAAGGGGATGTCTCCTCTTTAGTCGTCTGCTGGTTTGGCTGTTGTCCAATAGGTTTATGGCGAGGTGGTTGGGGTGGTACCTGCTGAGCTTGGAGATTTCTTCTGAGACTGATGGGATTCCCAGTTCTCCATGTATTACAACGTTCTCGTGGTAGGGATGCGCATTACAGGCGGATGTTCTGGAACCGCTGTAATATCTGGCGATTCGAATTGCTTGCCGTGCCCCAAGATTGGCTTGAGAATTGCTTTGTACACCAGGATTTTGAAGTTTTGCCTCAGCTTGGACCTTCTCCCAATAAACCATTGCATCTGCCTCAGTTGCGATTCGGCCTGTATGCGTTTGCTGAGTAGCCTCAGCCCTAGATACTTGGGTGCGGGCACGTTGGGAATGATGGTTCCGATCACCGTGACCGTTGGGTAGTCTCCTCTTCGTAGTGAGAGTTGACATTTCCGCGTTCACTACGATATTCCATCTGCTGAGCCAGGGATTTAACGCGTCCATTTGCCTTTGTATTATTTCAGAGGCTTCTCTTGGGTTGGATGATGAGGCGAGGAAAGCAGTGTCGTCTGCATATATGGCTATCATTAGTTTCCTGGAGGGGATAATGGGAAGGTCTGCGGTGTAAAGGGTGTAGAGGATTGGTCCGAGTACGCTGCCTGGCGGAACTCCAGCTCTGATCACTCTGATCAGTCTGAAAAGCTCTTTCCTCAGTGTAGGATTTAAGGAGGGTAAAATGAGGGCTTGGGAGGCAGGATTTTAGTTTATGGAGGAGTCCAGGATGCCAAACTCGGTCAAATGCCTGCTTCACATCGAGCATTACAGTGCATCAATATTTCTTCTGCTCGAATGCCTCGAGGATGCGTTCGACTAGCCGGTGGCACTGCTCCGGTGTTCCATGGCAGCGTCTGAAGCCAAACTGGTGATCGGGGATCAATCCGGTATACCTCGTCCAGTATAGGCAAAACACTGCGCAAAAATACTCTTTCGTGTATTTTGAAGAGGATTGCCAGTAGGCTGATCGGACGATAGGAGGCTAGGTTGGCTTCAGGCTTACCGGGCTTCAGGAGGACAATAACCTCTGCACTTTTCCAATCCTTCGGGAAGTATCCTAAACGGAAGCAAACGGAAGTTGTAAATGCTGGCCAGCATTTGTGTGCAGCGGAGTGGTAGCATCTTTAAGGCTGCTCCTGGTTGACTGGTTCCAATAGCAGTTTGGGAAGCCTTGGACTGTCGAGGAATCTGGCGGTTTCGGCACGCTCTTCGGCAGTGCAGCAGTCGAATGGTGAGAAGGCATTGAAGAGGTGTGCGTCCGATCGGCACCAGGATCCATCCGCTTTGCGCACTGCAAAAACTTTTTTAGGTCGTTTTATATGGCGGGTGACGTTCCACAGGTTGTGATCCGGATCCCCTGGAGAGAGTTCCTCGAGGAATCTGAGGAAGGAGTCCTGGCGTAGGCTGGAGATCTTTTCCTTAAGCTCATTTGTGGCGTGATTGAGCGCTGTTTTGTCTCTTGGGTTGCGCGACAGGAACCAGACTCTCCTGCGACGCCTCTTTTCAGCCACAAGTGACGCAATTTCCGGGGACCAGAGGTGGGGATCTCTACGTTAAAATCTCCAGCTGCTATGAAGCGGGGCCCAAGATGCTCGAAGAACTCGCTGAGATGGCTTGCCGTTATGCGGTATCTAAGGGCAAAGTAGACCGCTCGAATGCTGATTTCTCCTTGCGGGCTGGCGATCCTGATGACAGGACATTGTGCCCAGTCTTGCTGAAACGCGGGCAGCTCTAGGTATTGGATACCGCTCCTGATGAGGATGGCTCCTCCTCCGCGAGCTCTGCCAGTGGGTCTGCCTGGATAATGTCATATCCGCTGATATTGAAGTGGGATCTGGGGAGAAGTGGGTTTCGGCTACGAGTAGAATGTCAATCTGGTGGATTTTGAGATGGTGCTCGACTATGGCCTTGCTGTTCTGCAAGCCGTTTGCATTCCAGACAAATATATGGAGCCTTAATTGATTGTTGGGGATGCCACAGGCGGCGCCTTATTAACATTCGCATTCGCGACGGGCCTTGCTTTCGGAGCTGCGAGCGCTTTGGCCTTTTTATAGGCAGGGCATCCCTTAAAGGTCGCGGGGTGGTCCGGTTGGTAGTGGAAGCAGCCCGGCTTGTCTTCCGCCTTCTTCTCGCATTGCCTCGAGTCGTGAGGACCTCCGCATTTTACAGAGCGATGCTCCATAAAACAGTACCGCTGTGTATGACCGAAGCCTTGGCATCTATAACATTGTGGTACATCGTTGAACTTCTGTGGCGATTCGATGGTTACCTGCAGATTCGCTTGACCTGATAGACATCTGTCTTGGTAAAGAAGATTCCCAGAAGTTCTTTTGTTCTTCTGCCAAAGGGATTATGCAGATCTCTTACAGTGTGCCCCTGACTGCAAAGGTCCTCGATGACTTCGTCACGGTCAGTGGAGTGGTGGAGTCCTTTAATGACTACCTTGTAGGCTCTTTCGTCTTTCGGTTGGAAGGTAAAATGCCTTTTATTTTGAGCCACAAGCTGCTGACGCAGAGCAGTGTAGGACTCCTTGTCCGGCATCATGACTCGCACGATGTTTCCGTTCACGGCCTTGTATGTGAAATTGTTCCTCTGGCCCACAAGCGTCGTGATCATCTTGATGAGTGCCGAGATGTTGGTCACATCAGGAATAATTATCGGAGGTGGTTTGATGGTCTTCGGGGTGGGTTTTGGTTTTTCGGGGGTTTGGGTTTAGTTTCGACTTTAGCAGGTCAGAGTTCATCCTCAGAGCTCTCTTGGTCGTCATCGTCTTCTTCGTTCGAAAGCTAGCAAAGGTGTTGTTGGCCAGCTTTTTGCGCAGCGCTGCGCTAGTGCTTGGCTTGTCATTCAGCTCCTCTCCCTTCGTTTTCTTAGCCGGTTTACGCTTGATACGCTTTTACGTACTCTGAGAGCCTTCTTGCATGGTGTTGTTCCCAGCTTGTGGGTGCGCGGGAGGGCCTGCCAGTCCATACTCTCCAAGGGTGGTAAGGAGGAGGAACAAGCGCCACCTGCTGGCGCTTTATGGGACTGATTGACGCCCTCTGGCGGAGAAATTTTTAACTATAGGGGTAAAGGCGCCACCTATGTCGAAACTGGTTGTGGTTATCGGAATCAGTTTAGGCAGTACACACACCACTGGAACAGCTGTTCCACCAGCTGAGTAAGCCGAAGACTGGTAACACCAGTCAGTTGATTTGCTAGCTACATGCACTGTTGCAAATAAGTTAAATACCATCTGCAGCCAGGACTTAACCCAACTGTCTGTACGTTTTTAGAGAATAACAAATCGTTTCCATGTATTATCGTTAATTTTTGGAGGCAGGCAAATTTATTGTTATTTATTTAACCTTCCGTAAAATTTGAAAATTATATCGTTACCGCGGTATAATATATATTTGTCGGAGCATAATTTTGCATGTGTGTAGTGACCAACTTAAGTTTACACTGCAAAAACTCTTCAAGACACCCTCGCCCTAAATTATAGCAGCTTTTGTGTAAAACAAAAAGCGAGAGAATTGTCTTAGACCAATCAGGACAGAATATGATCGTACGATTATACAGTTAGGAAAAGAAAAGCTATAACAGCGACCACCAGCATGCAGCTTCCCAGAGCTTAGATCATTATCGGATAAAACTTCGTGGCGAACGCTCACAATTTTTGACGCTGCCCATTTAAACTTCACATACACGTGGAAATATAATCAGTTATATATATATATCCAATCTCATAAAACAAGAGTTGGGATATTTCAATAAATTTCCGTGTTCGATTCGTGTGAAAGTGGCAACGAGATTCGACCCCAAGGCGTAAGGAAGGCCAGGCCTGTATAAGAGCATTTGGTTGCTCTACAGCCGACTACCCCCACTGTAGCTTATCTTCACACGAGTCGGCGTGTATCATTAGTATCAATATAAAGCCATTTCTTTTATTAATCGGTAGTCCAGTTTTGAATATTGTTTATGAGTAAGACGCACTTATTAAAATGTAGTAGCGTTTCGTACTATCCTAAGCTAAAAGAACCCCGACCTACGGCGAGCTAGACCCGAGCATAGCAAGAGTGCGCATCCCTAGCGAAGGAAGTACAAGGTCCTCTTTATTAGTAATTACCACCCACTATTAAAAGACCAACTAGTTAAAAATCTATCGAACTACGGTACACTACACATTTTTGGCGCCCAACGGGTGAGGCCCGACAGGTACTACACATTTTTGGCGCCCAACGTGGGGCCCGAGAAAATACACTACACATTTTTTGAAGCCCAACGAGTGGAGCTCGACAAGTACTACACATTTTTGGATCAGACGTGAAGCTCGAAAAGTCCTTAACTTGTTATAGCACACTAAGCTCTAAAGTAATCCATCCACAGTTAAAACACAATATAACTAATTCCAATAAATTAACATATTGGATTGAGAGTATCTATTTGGAAGGGATAGTAAAACTTAGGAACATGCGATTCAATTTGAAAGAGAATTGATCGACCAAGTGGAACTGTTTCGAATCCACAGGAGCTCATCACCATACGTTTCTTTACTCAACTTTATTTACAATTTGATTTTTCTGGAATACATTATACTTACACTTCAATAAGTCCGTATATTGTCCGATTTTCAAGTGAATAAAAGCATGAGGCAATAGACCAGCTACAATCCACTAACAAATAGAGATACAACTAAGATTCTGATAGAAGTGATCGACATAAAGAAAGACAAACCAAATAATTACAACATATCTTAACAACAATAATATGGCAGCGAAGAATAG